TATTCTCTTCTAATTTAGCTTATTATGAAGTAATTGTTGACATGTGAGACAAACTTGTATTTTTCAAAGTCATTAGAACACCTCTACTTTCTGTTCATATAAGTGTTAGCATTTTCATATATGAAAATAAGGGAACCCATCTTTAAATTTCTTTATTTTTGTTTTATTAATACAGGTGAAACAAATCAAGTAGATCATCTTGTATTTATTGTACATGGTATTGGTGATTTTTGTGATGTTAAATTTAGAAGTATAGTGGAAGGTGGTAAGTATTAACAAATTAGTGTATCATGACTTTATATTATTACGTTGGGATCTGTCTGAGTAACCAATAGGTTCTCAATTTTGTCATTAATGATTTTATAACTACATTGAAACAAATTTATAGATAGATACTTCTAGAATATTCATTACTTTCAATGTTTTTCTGTGGTTCTCACACTGTCATTAGGAATATAATAATTGATATGATTTATATTCCTGATGAAGATGTGAGAATCACCTATAAAGAAATAGATATTCTAGAAGTATCTATCCATAAAACTATAACTTGTGGTTCTTATAAGCCATTGAAGGATGCTATATTATTGCTTCATAACTTTGGTGTGGTATACTGTTAAAAGTTCTGAACTACGATATCTGACATCCATGGTATTTTAATCAGTGATTCATGAACTACAAGACAACAGTAATTTCTGGATACCGACGGTATATTAAATATTATATATTGTAGTTGATGATATCTGACATCCATGGTATTTTAATCAGCTTATTCATAAACCGGTATATTAATTATTGTATATTGTAGTTGATGATATCTGACATCCATGGTATTTTTAATCAGATTATTCATAAACCAGTATATTAAATATTGTATATTGTAGTTGATGATTTCCGGTCTATATCTCACAGTCTATTAGACAGTCATTATAAACCATATAAAGAAAATGGTCGTATTAGCCGAGTGGAATATCTACCTGTACATTGGCATATGGCCTTACATTCTGATGCTACTGGTATAGATGAGTAAGTATATAACTTTAATAAATTTCTATGTTTCTTGCAAGGCTTTTTAACACGAGAAAAAATAAACATCTAAAAAGGAAACCACAATATTTATAAACTTTATAAAAAGCTACCATTGACAGGAAACAGATAGTGCAATTGCTTGTATACTTCCACTCCTTGCTTCATTCGCAACAGATTTAGTTCAAAGTTCACGCCCCCAAAATCTACTATGGAAGCAACAGAGAACATGGCATGATGATAAGTTTGCTGTTGTCAAGATATGATAATAATCAAATGATTTTTTGTTTTCTTGAGCCATTTTGATTGTATGATCTCCCCATAATGCTTCAAAAATATTTATAAAACCAAGGTATAGAAGAAAATTATAATCTTGTTTCTTTTGTAGACGATTGAAAGCTATCACTCTACCTAGTACTGCTAAATTACGTCAATTTGTTAATGATACACTGTTAGATATATTGTTTTATACTAGTCCTGCTTATTGTCAGGTGAGTTATCTCCCTTGGTATAAACTCTTCTCCTCGCAAATAAAATCTTTGGGTTGCTCGATGGGTGTGTTCAGCACGTTTGGGATTCATGAAATCAACAGAACACGAAATAAAACAAGTTGGAACAGAGTTCAGAACACATTCCACATGAAGGTACAAGGTGCAGACAGAATTCAAAATGGAGGAAAAGGATATAGATTGGAATATTTTGAACATGACATATTCCGCTGTACAAGTCAACTGAGGGAAGAATTGGAACAGATGGAACCTGTTCAGAACTCTCAAATCGATTGTCACCCAAACATCACCCAACCAAATGTCTGCCATTTTTTAAATCAGATTTGGTGAATAAAAACATGAAATGCTCATGCATTGTAGGAAATTTTTACCATCTGCATTAGTATACACTATGATTTCAAATTTTCCAGTGCTCTTCTCACAGACTAGTATGTTGGGTCTTGGTTTTTGGTTGTTACAATTTGGAATCTGTAAATTGCAATTACCTTAGAAATAATAGTTGAAATTTGATTGATTGACATAATAAGGCAATGCTAATGTTAGTGTTATTTTTAATATTTTACAGTTAATAGCTGAAACAGTTGGTAATGAAATCAATCGAATTTATAATTTATTTTTGTCCAGACATCCTACCTTTAATGGCTCAGTATCTGTTGCTGGACATAGTTTAGGTGAGTTTGTATGTATATAAGCATAACAAAGATCAAGCTAAAATTAATTCCTTTTGATTCCTCTAGTTTTGTCCAATTTTTATGAAGCTTGGTACATAGGAAGCAAATTTGTTTAAATTTAGATTTTTGCCTGGGGTACCATTCCAATTTTCATTCTGACGTCTGTGATTCGTGCAATTCCACTAAAACTAACGCGTTTTATGATGTCACTAGAGGGGAGCTACTGGAAGCTACTATTCATATCTATGCACTATGCAGTTCCCCTCTTGTGACATCATAAAACATGTCAGATTTAGTGGAATTGCAAGAAACACAGATGTCGGAATGAAAATTAGAATGGTACAAATTAATGCTATCAGTGTCCCTGATACACATAAAAAGTTTAGAAAACCTCTTTACAATCCCTTTAAGATATTTTTCTTCATTTTAGGATCTTCCATATTATTTGATCTATTGTTACATCAAATTAACCCTGATGCTCAACAACAAGAAATGTCCCCTCCCCCTTCAACAGACTTACCAGATAATAGTACCAACTTGATATCAGAGGAAGAAAATAAGGTTGGTAGTACGGAGGTTTGGAAATTGTTTAAAAAGATAAAAGTTTGAAAGAGAAAATAGCTCAAAATTCAACTGAACAAAATTAAAATAAGAATTTCTTTAGATCATGGATGATGTAAAAAAGTAAGCCACAGAAAAACACAATAAAACATATAGATCTGAGTCATACAATAACATATAAGTGTCAGTAAAAGTTTGAGAGAGAAAAAGAAAGCTCTAAATTGAACAAAACTGAACAAAATTATAAGAAGAATTTCTTCAGATCATAGATGATGTAAAAAGTAACCCACCGAAAAACAATGAAACATTCAGATCTGAGTTATACAAAAAGATATAAGTGTCAGTAAAAGTTTGAAAAAGAAAATAGCTCAAAATTCAACTGAACAAAATTAAAAGAAGAATTTCTTCAGATCATGGATGACCTATAACATAACCCACAGAAAAACACAATGAAACATCTAGATCTACATTTCATGATGTCCATGTCCTATATTTAGAGTAAAGATGCTGAAGAAGAAGAAGATGATGATTTAAGTTTAGAAGATTTATTAGAAAGAGTTGGTTTACAAGATAAAATACAAGTCTTCCAACAGGAACAAATAGACATGGAATCTCTGGTAAGTTGAATTCTTGCTTGAAAACTTGCAGACATTACCATCTCCACCAGGAACTGTCTTTACTAATGGGTGAGATCATGAGATGGAAGTTCTGAAGATTTGCATATATCACATCTTTCTGAACAGCAAAAAATGGGTTTTTTTGTGTATCTCAGAAATAAGAATAGTAAATAAGATATTATTCTTGTAGATAATGTGTAGTGAACAAGACTTAAAAGATCTAGGCTTACCAATGGGACCTCGTAAGAAATTACAAGGTTTATTATTGGAAGAACAACAGAGAAAGGTAAGATTCATCAAGAGCATCATCACAGTCTTTCTATCAAGGGCTCGGATTGGTTGTATTTGCAAGCACAATCCAATCACATCACTGTATTTACAAACTTCCTTGGAACTAGAAAGGTGGCTATTGCAGTCAAGGTATTAGACACAGTCTGTAAATTTTGTCTTAACATTGTGAAGATTCTAGAGTATCTGAGTATGAACAGAATTTTATTGATTTTTGTGGAAATCGCTTTAGTTAGATCGACCATATCCAAGACTAGTGTTTTAGGCCTAGTGGAAAAATAATGCATTTGTGATAATTTTTCAGGCAAGAAAACAAGCAGAAATTGCTCAAAAAGTAGAATCAGAAAATAGATTAAGAGAGCAGCAATTAAAAATGATGGCTGAAGCTGGGCTCAGTCAGCATCAAAAGTAAGATATGATTGAAATGGATTATTTGACTCTAAATTGAAAATATCAATGGGAATTGCAAAGATGACTGACAGAAAATAAACTAAACAAAAAATTTAGATTCTCAAGTTTTGTGATGTTATCGATTTATTCAGTAGATCAACCTAAGTCTGTATTCATAGAAATATATCAAATATAATAGTTGTGGGTTCTAATCCTGGTCAACCTGCGTAAGCCATTTCTTGTCAACTCATGGGTAAATGGGTACAGATAAACCAGGAAATGTCAATACCAAGGTGAACAGGACCTTTGAAACCTTATTCTTATTCATATCATAGACTTGGCCATATTCCAATATCACAATAAAACCATATGTACATAAGATACACTTATCGTGATATTGTGATATCGTGATATCCACTTGAACCAATATCACCCATACTCTTATATATTACAGTGCTTTAAAAGGACAAGACCACAGTGCAGTGGAATATACACATGGATTGGCTGGTACAGGACAACCTTTTGTACAGTATCCACAACTACAGTTTTCACCATCAGCTCTGTTTGCCCTGGGGTCACCTATTGGTGTCTTTCTGTCTGTTAGAGGTGTAGAACAAATGGGAGAAGAATTCAAATTACCAACTTGTCCTAGATTTTATAATATCTTTCATCCTGTAAGTTAACTAAATTTTTCTCAATTTTGTTGGTCAATTGAATTTTACCGCTTGATTTTATTTGTATTTGAATAGTACTGATAGTGTTTGGTTGACTTTGAGTTGATAAAAAAAGCAATTGGAGCCAAACTTCTGTGAAATTTCACCAAAATCATGTGGATGAGCTCTTTAAACATACTATAGGATTAAATTCCTGGATTTTCATATATCCTAAGTATTTTTGCATAATTTTAAGTTGAAGACAAAATGAGATTGTGGATTGTGGATTGACTGACCCACAAAATTTCCCAAAAAATAATAGGTCGGGTTATGACTTTTCAAGGCAATTCTCTTTGTTAATTATGCAATCTGAATTATCCAAACATGTAGCCTACTTTGTGTCCCACAGGCCACATTCATATGCAAAAATCCATGAAACAGAATAAGAAAATTGTAAGATAATAGGAGGTTTTAACTGTCATAAGAAGAAAAGTAGGACGTAAAACTCCATTCATTTCATTTCATTTTTTGTTATCGTTAGACCAGATAAACAGAAAAGCAGAAAAATCAAACATGAAACCCTATTTCATTCATGTATTTCTGATGTTTTTATAGTTTGATCCTGTAGCATATCGTCTGGAACCGTTAGTTAATCCTGCAGCTAGTGTCATTAAACCTTTTTTATTACCTCATCATAAAGGTAGAAAACGACTCCATTTAGGTACGAATATTTTACATTCTATTCATTTACATATGCTCAAGACCAAATTTAACCCCCCCAAAATGGCTCACTTGTCCCTTTAAAAACAGGAATTATGTCTCAATCCTTACTTTTTTTTCAAAAACAAATTTTCTAAGACCTTTATTTCAAATCTAGTCTGTGGTGCAAACCATTTGAATTGAATTACTATTTCTTTTCATGCTATTTACACATTCCATAATTTGAATCCCTAACCTTTGTAACAATGGTCTGTAAGAATTGCCAGCTTTTGGGCATGGCTAGGCAGTGATAATCGAGACTACCATAGTACAAAAACACCATAGTGAGACAATATCATCCAGACTTTCAGGCACTCTTTTCCCTCTTTTCATCCAGTTGTGAGAATGTTGAAAGTTTGTTACCAATTTTATGTATAACTTTATACTTCCAGAATTAAAAGAAAGTTTGTCACGTGTGGGCGCCGATTTAAAAAATAAGTTTATGGAATCTCTAAAGAGTACTTGGCATTCTATTCAAGATTTTGCTCTAGCTCATCGTGGCAGTACTGAATCTTTAGAGGCAGAAGTTAATCAACAAGTATCTAGTGCTATGGAAGAATTACAAATTAGTGATTCAGATAAAGATGAAACAGGATGTAAGTCTAATTTTAATCAAATTCAGATCTCTATGCTGTCAACAATGTTTACAGAAGAAATTTTGCCAATCAGTTTCGTATGAATTTAAATATCAATTACAAAATGAGTGAGAGCCTTACATTGTCTTAGGGTTGATTTTGTTGAAAATTTTAACCAATGAAAATGTTATTATTTGCTTCTGGAATCTCATCAAATACTTAGTTTTTGTGGAATTGCAAGAACCACAGACGTCTGATTAAAATTGGAATGGTGAAAATTGATGCTATCAGTGACCTTGATACATATAAAAAATGTAATATTTGCATTCTGATTTAGACAGACCATAAGCTTTATTATTGATATTTTCAGCTGTTTGTTCTAACCAAGATAGTGATGTCAGTATGGGACAGTTAAATGAAGGAAGAAGAATAGATTATGTCTTACAGGAAAAACCAATAGAAAGCTTTAATGATTATTTATTTGCTTTGGCTAGTCATGGTTGTTATTGGTAAGTATGCTTATCTCATATTGGCCTTAATCTTTGGCTATATTTGCCAAGTTATATCTTTCATTACATTATTTTCCTTAATGAATACTTCCTCTTAAAATGAACATAAAATTGTATTTTCTCCGACTATAAATTCATCCCTGCACAATCTAATAAATCCATCAAACTACTAGTAATTATTGATAAACACTTTAATGATTATAAGCAATAATTACTTAGTTTTATCTGTACAAGTAATTATTAATAAGTAAGCATGAATTAAAAATAAAAGGAAATCTTGACATAATGGGTATAAAAAATGGTTTTACATGTAAAATATGTCCTGGCATTGGCAAATTTTCACACTGGCTTTTATAATAATTTCTAGCCAAGAATTCTATTGGTAAGCATTTGTCATTTCTCCCAATTTTGGATTTGATAAGTATTCAATCAGATTACTAGATGGTTTGTTTTATGTTTTTTTTATGGGTGACTCCCCATTCCATATGTGTTATACAACACAATATGCTCTAGGTTTGTAACCTTTCAGCCTATCAAATGATCTGTTCAATAAAAAAATGTTCTGCCTGCTTGTCGACTTGACAGTTAAAAGTGGTTTTAATTGGTTAACATAAAGTATGACAACTTTTACTGCCACTTTTGATTGACCACAATTTTATTAATAATTTTGTGAGACAAGGGATGTCAAGTGAAGTCACCCACAAATAAAAAACAGTAAATGAAACATCTCGATCTGAATAATTGAATAGTATTGAAACTAAAAATCCAAGTCCATAATTTATTTGGTGAATAATAGGGATTAGTTTAGTTTTGGTGATAGAAATGACATTTCCTTACCAATATCAATTTTTATCGCTCTAAACATTGGTTGCCAGGCTTTTACACACCCTAAATTTAGTTTTTTATATCTCTTAGGATTTTATTACCACTTAAATTCTCGTTGAAACCTTTTTTATGTCACATCCTTAATAGCCTGAATATCCTTCATTCTGTAAACAAATTAGCCTCTTCACTGTATCAAGCTATTATGCACTGCGTCTAATACCTTGACTGCAATTACTACTTTTGTATCAGAGACTTAAGCTTTTTTTACTTGGATTGTACATTGTCAATACAGCCAACCAGAGCTCTGGACCACAAGATTGTAAACAATGTGTTTGGGGACTATGATTTGCTGTGTTCCCTAGCTTAGCGATGCATTTACAAACATCTGTGATACCAGAAATTGGCTTTTGCAGTCAAGGTATTATGCACAGTTCGTAATAGCTTGACATAGTGTGTATGTCAATGATGTAGAAATTACTGAAGTGTGTTTGCCTTCATTTCACACTTTGTAAGTTCCTGTTCCAAAGTTCCATTGAATCAGTTTCTTTTTAGTTAAAACTGAAATGATTTTACGAAATCCAACAATCTGATTGGTTAATAAATCTGAATTTAGCAATTTACCAACCTTATTTGTGATGAAGTACTTAAAGCCTGAATTAATCTATTTTTAGGGGATCAGAAGATACAGTATTAATGGTGCTAAAAGAGATTTATATGCCATTCGGCATTACACCACAGATGCCTGGACCAGAAGGGGTTCATAAAAGAGCGGGAACTCAACCCCCACCCATGTACACACCCCCTAGATATCAACCCCCTCCCCATACAAGTACATCTGAGCAACAGTTTACTCAATATAAGCCTCCACCTGTCCCAACCATGGTACCACCACCAATGGGACAACAAGGATATGGTATGCCTCCTAGTGGCATGCCTCCTAGCAGTATGTCATCAACCAGTGCTTATGGTGGTTTAGGACCATCAACATCTCAAGGACCTCCTCCTGCCTTGTCAGCTAATGCTCCACCACCAATGGCTGGTTTTGTACGAAAATAGAATCCTATTGACTTCATCATTTTATTTTGTCAGTGGGTTTTGAAGGTGCTGGTAAACTAGTGGATTGATCTAGTTATTACAATTTTAATTTTCACAACTTCTTTGAAATGAGAAGCCATGGCAAGCTTCCATGGTTACATTGATCTAGTCATGTGGAAACATGGCTTTTTTATCTCTAATTTAGAGAGTAGTAATCTGTGGAAAAGGAACCAAACCAGTGAAAAATCCTACTGAAATTGCACTTGAATTCTTTAAAATGAAGCAAGATTTCTTGTTTATGAAGCCTGGAAGGACACAGTATAGTCAAACATTTGTGCACATACAGGCTACATTAGTCCCAGTGATTTTAATAACCATTTAATCTTCTCTGTTCTCGTATATGTTATGCAACAACCTTGAATGTGCATAGATATCCTTGATTATGCATATACCAAAATATTGCAATTTGGCTTAAAAGAACTATAGATGTAAATATAATTATAATATATTCCTTCATTGAAAGATATATATATCTAAACTTATTGTAAATTTCATTATGTATATGGTGTATTTATTACTAAGAATTCTTATTTGGGTATGGTGTATTAAGGATGGAAATCAGGATTGATTTTTGTGTGTTTGTGTTATGCCAATGTGTTTAAGTTTTTCAACTAGACCTGCTGAATAATATTTACAGAAAAGAGATTTTTCCTATTACCACTTTCTGCAAAGCCAGTAGCGATGTGCACTATATTCAAATTTTCAAAATTACACTGTATTGTAATCAGTCAATGAATTCCCAGCCTGAATGGTTCTCATTATGTACCATCACAAATGGATGTAGAGTAAAGAAGAACAGTTCATTTATTTAGAGGTAATTTAAATACAGAAGTTGTATAGTTTTTAGTTCAATATACTATTTTTGCAACAAAAAATACTGTTTTTGTTTGGATTTTAAACAAATATCTTTGCTTTTCTTGGATAACATTAACAGAAGTAAATTGCTATTGATGAATAACAAATGCAAACGTACAAAATCTCGCCTGTCACTATATTGTGTGTTACATAATAACATCAACATGTAATTGTATCATGTAATTATTAATACATTATTTTGGGGTTTGATGATGTCAAGTTGAAAACTGTAGCTTACCTAAGCTTGGTGATTCTTTGAACTGAAAACTGTTCCTCTTTTAAATGATAATTTTTTATCCTGTGTGTTATGAGTTAACATTTATCATTTGATTACCCTTCTTTTACTCATATTATTATAAATATTCATTATGTACATAGTAGAAATCATTAATATATTATACAGATACACTAGTTTTTCTGTTTTTTTAATGTTGAAAAAAAAGGTAATATCAGGATGATATATAAAATATCCAATTACACTTCCAACCAAAGCTGATGCATATCTACTGACACATTTTCTGCAAATTTCTATGGTTTTATTGCCAGTAGAGCAGTGGTTCCCTACCTTTCTCAGTCTTCACACACCTGGAGCAATCACCTGGGACCTTTTACACCTCAAAATTTAGTTTCATCCACATCTTCAGCATGTGTTGATGTGATGCTCTCTCAATTCAAAACAAATTCCTTTCCTACACCAGTTGGTCACACCCTGACACCCTAGTCCCACACCCCCAGAGAGTGAAAACCAGGGAAGTAGAGATGTATAGTATTAAATAGATTGTAATAGTGAAAAAATGGTCTATGGCCCTCTTGAAAATTTTGTGGCCCCTGCTCGCCCCCCTCCTAATGTTTGCTAGCAAGGTCAATGGTTCAAGTGTCGTGCATCTTCCCCTACATCAGGGCCTGAGTCTTTATTTTCACAAACTTTTCTGGTCCATTGCCTTATAGTAGTAGCCTAACGTTCAAAGACATTTTCATACTAACGCAAATTGACATTGACAAAATAAGAGAGAGAAGTTGACAGCTTTTGCAAAATTAGGGCCTACTAAGATTCACTCATAATAGATGGATCAAATGAAATACAAATAATTTATATATCAGAATTTATTTAAAGGATGATATCCGATCAAAGCTTATCATAAGATGCTATAATCGGTAATTCCAGTAAACTTTCCTAACATTTCATAATAAAAGGCATGATTCACATGTGTTTTCCGCCAATATTTCCCGCCACGAGACGTCTAGTCTCTATCAACCAGTGCGTCGAATATTTAATGAAATACCACGTGATCTAGATAATCAAGTCTATACCGTACTAAAAATAACCTGACAGCTGACTGTCGGTGGTTGAAAGTGTTAGTAGTACAGACTATGGTTTACTGTCAAAATGGATTGGGGACTGAGAATACTCGACAAAATATGGTCTCTTTTGATTTTAGTGTCAATCATACCTTCATCAGTAAGTATTAATTGTTAATTAGAACGATATTACGTCATTGCTAATATATGAACCGGCGTGCCGTGCATTACAGCTGATAACTCCTACTTGTTCCAGTGGAAAATCAGCTGTTCGCTGTTTACTATGTGTCTAATTGTGACCTATATCGAGATATTTGTTATTTATGAAGATATTTTATGTACTGAAATAGGTCACAAATTGAATCACTGATATTTGCATTGACTATTGAATGCTGTTGAATATAGAAAGAATTTGAACATGTGCAGAGCTAGGGCCAGGCCACAGATAAGATAACAAAGCCACTAACTTGAATTACACTGAGTCCAGGTTCATAACAAACAAAGCATGTCCTTGAACAAATAATTATCTTGGCTATGGTCAAGTATCTCTTTAGGGGTTAAATCTAGTTGAATATGATGAGAAAATAAGAAGTTATCATCGATAATTCTAAAGCTACTAGCCTAACATTTCAGGAAAGGACTGGACTGAAGGAATTTTTCATTGGAGTTTCACCTATTTGAATTCATCTGTATCATTGCCCTGTGTGCTGTGATGAACTTTAATATAGAAAGAGAAAATTAAAACACATAAACCTCAGAAAATATTATACAGTATTATTATATTATATAATTAAGGTTGTGCATACAGTAAAATCTTTCTCAAATCCCCCCATCTCCTTAACCAATCTTAGAGTAATACTACGTGTTAGAATGAACATAAAATTTGATAATTTTAAACTTGGCCAATAAGAGCATATACTCATCAGTGAAATATGTGGTGTCATAAATAACATAACAGGATCCTTATATAATCCGATAAATCCAAAAAATTAGTAATTATCCATAAATATGCAATTAACTATTGAAAAATGCTTAATATTAAGTTTAGGCGTTTTTCAATAATTACTTAGTTTTATGAATTTTCCAGATTTTACAGGGATTCTGTTGTAACTTTATGACATATTATTATCATAGTTCATATACTCATATTGACCATTCTTGAGAACTTTAATTCTAAATTTGATGTTCATTCTAAGACGTAGTATGACTTTAAGAGTATGATATCCATGCAATAGATGTGAAAAAGTAAAAAAAAAATGAGTGATTAAACTCTTTCTCCGATGTGTCATTTTATAAGAAGTTGAAAATTTGAAAGGAAAAGGGAAACCTATCCTAGCTACATATGTGACATAACTTCATTCAGACTTGAGTTATATGACTGTATCATTTTAAATCTATAATTTCAACATATAAACTTGCGTTGTTAAAAATATGATATTTTCTGAAATTATAGGCAATTCAAACCACCAATACAAACAAACAGTTTGAAAAATTCAATATTTTCAGAGGCATAAGTCTAATCTTTTCCCTTTCCAACTCTCAAGTGAACACAGGTTGTATAACATGGACCTCAGTTTATTGAACACATAAGCATTTTTCTCATGGCAGACCTGTATCACTGACAGGGGGAAAAACTCAGTTGAAGAATACACAAATTTTACCTCAACTTGGCATTTTTCTCATGTCAGACGAGCTCCATGGTTAGTGTGGGGTCCGTTTCGGGCTGGGCCCCAGCAAGTGAGAATAAAGCCCCAGCAAAATCTTCTTCAGATCATCATGCAATCTGGAGGCAAAGTTGTCCACAGATGTTCAAATAGTGGTGATTTTCAAGCATAAGGCTCACAACTATTCAGTAAGTTTGCATACATTTGTTCAAAAACTAAGATATTGTTAAGTAAACCTTCATTTCGAAAACTAGCTTTCCTGATGAAGGTTTTGTATCTTAAACCAAAATGTTCTGCTGGATTTCTTTCCTTGTTCTTGTAAACATACAGTAAAAGTTGAATAGGGAGACAAATCAAAAAAAAATGTTCAAATATATTTTAGTTAACATAGGCAATGTTTTTTTTATAATGTAAATATTTCAGTGATAAACTTACAAATATATATTTGCACATACTGCAATTTTTAATCATGTAAAAATTTGACCTCAAACTTATCGTATATTGTTTAAGAGGTACACATATATTTTGTTATCAGTTTGGCCTCATTTTGATAGGTAAATAAACAGCCAATTCAAATATTGAATATTATTATAAGCCTTTATAAAGTTGTTGTAAAGCTTATTACTGGTACTTGTTAATATGATTATAAGGAATGCCTTAGTCATTTTTTGCAATTTAAAGGGACAAATGCGGTATTTTTGGGGTTGATTTTAGTCTTGAATATATATGTAATTAGTCTTCAGTAGTTCTAGAAATGTACAAAAATCGCATAATTCCTTTAAAAACACTTCAAACTAGGAATTTTACTCACTATTACTATATATGTCTATATATCACAGAGTATCTTAAATTGACGATTCATCATTTTAACTTTCAAACACAGATAATTCTGGACACACATGGATTTGAAGGCTCAGATTACGACGGTGATCTGTGAACACTATTACTGATTGGCTCAGCTAAAAAATTATAGTTTCTGAGACTAAAGTATGATTGGTCAAAAAATATGGCCTAACTGTTCCTTTAAAGGACATTTTAAACACTGTCGGAATGTACTGTTCATAATTGGGTCATGCTTATACTCAGAAGCACTTTAGTGAAAATAAGGTAAAACATTTTCGAATGACCATATTAAAGGGACTGTAAGGAGGCTTTTCGAACATTTTATTTGTGTACATTGTATTGAGAAAACTGTTAGCATCGATTTGCACCATTCCAATTTTCAGTCAGAAGTCCTTTTACAATTCCATTATAAGCATGCATTTCATGACATCATTGTCACAGAAGCTACAAATTCTAATGGTGCAATACACCACTCAATACACCCTGGATTTCAAAACCTCTTTAAAGTAATACTACCTCTTAGATTGGGCATAAATCCATACAATGAAATAATTATCAATAAAACTTAGTAATTGCAATGTTATAACACCAGGAAAGTCTGATAACTAATAAAAATATACTCTTATCGGACAAGTTTAAGATTTTCAAATTTATGTTCATTCTAAGAGGTAGAATTCCTTTAAGAGAAAACAGTGAATCAGAGAACCAGACGGATAAATGGATACAGAACAGACAGTCTTGATCTATGTTGATAGACTGTCGTCTGCCCTCCATGTCTTGACCTTGTCTTTAACCCTTTCACCTTCTTCAAACTTAAACTGATGATGAATTGATCTCTATCAAATTTATCGAATTAAAATCACACTGCACTCATATTTAAATCATTCAAATCTGAAGGGTTAATCGATTGGAAAGTGATATGAGGTGTCCATGCTCTATTAGTTTGTGCATGGTATTGAATTGATTAAGTTTGAAAAGTTTCATGATAGTGCAAGAAGTAAGAAACTGAGGTTGAATTTTGAGTTGCTTAATCTTGCTCTGTATTTCTTATGGACTTATTGTATTTTGTGAATATTTTGTGAAAGCATTTTTTTTTAAATTTCATAGAAACTTTAAATCAATTTGAAAGAGCTTTTGTATTTGTATTTGTATTTTGAATGAGGAATTTTAGGTTGGAACATTGCGGTTAAGTAATGTTACGAAAGCACAGGCACAGGCATGACTTAACCTCTAGTGAGACAGTATGGTTTGTGCAGCTAGTTTGAATAATATGTTACGGTCTTTCATACGTACATTAGTCCCAGATATAGTTTTTGCAATCCTGGAGTTAAAACTAGACATCATTTAAATTGTATTTGCATTTAGTGATGTGGGGGTAGCTCCGGAACTCCAGGAACCACAGACAAGGGAAAGGTGAAAATGGGAACTGTGATCCTAATACACATACTTGATCATAGACTGAGTTTTACCGTTGATTGTGGGCTTCCATACTGAATATTTTCACTTTTAGTGCTAAAATTCACCACTAATATAATTATACTATAATGAGTTGACAATCCCAGTTGTAGAATGACATGGTGTTGACATGAGGAGCAAAATCATAGTTGGGCGCTTCATAAGACGTGAGGCAAATTCAACCAATCGTGAAACGTGTAGGCTACATTTACTGCAGCAAGCTATTACGAATTTTATAAGACGAATTGCGTAATAGCTTTTAATTGTAAAGATGCAATTACTGTACACAATTACTGTAAAATGGTGGCAAGTCATTTTCAAATAAGTTTGAAATATAATACATCTTTGATGTTTCATGAGGAACAATATCTCTAAAATTAAGTTTCAAGTCGCAATTTCTATAACTTAGTCACATGACATTGTGAACCATTGTGATTGGCTAAATTCTGTTTTGGTGAATTTTTCTTGGCAAGTTTGCAGACGGTCTATTTGACTTCGGGTGTGAAGGTCAAAGGTTTTTCTGCGTTACTATTCATTTGAAATTTTCCAGTCATTATGGTAGGTTGTTTTTAGTCAATTTGAATTCCCTGCATTTTAGATGAAGTTTTTATCGGAATTTTAACAATCAGATAAGAAGTAGTCTATTAATAAGCAGAACGTTTGATTGAAAGGAAGGATTTCTACTTGAATAATCAAGTGGGTGTCAATTGAATGTAAAATGAACAATGGAGAAATGAATAAGACAGTACATAGGTGGGTAAGTTTAAAAATAATGCTGACTTCATCTTTCCAAATAAATGTTTGATAAACTGTGATTTGGAAAAACCATCATAATGACATTTTCACAATGTCAAGATGTTACGAATTCTGAATAATACCTTGACATCATTAGGCACTTTTCTAGTTACATGGAATTTAGAAAATGCAGCAATTTGACAAAAAAATTCCAGCTTATCACATCCTTTGACAGAAAGACTGTAGACAATAAAGTTTAGCATGTAACGACCATATGAGGCTTCTGATTGGTTGTTTTTGATAGGGGGTAATCCAATCCAATCGCTGCATTGACAAATTTCAGTGTAACACGAAAAGTGCTTGTCGATTAGTATGTATTAGTATTTGCTATAAGTGATTTAGTATGGTTGAGAGCCAACACCAGGCAGACTCTCGGATGCACTGGCACAGGCATCAGAATTTAATAAGTAATACTTTGTGAAGATGTTGATTTACAGTTGATGCAGTAGCCTATTGCCATCAAATAGGCTTGGTAAGTTTTGGACTGCTGGGTCATGGTGTCAGTAAATTGATAAAACTGATTACGTGACTGCGAGCTAAGATAAAATTCCATCTTGTACTTGACCTAAGTTGAATAGTTGTAGTAGGTCAATTTTTTATATGAATATATCGGTCAAGCCGACTGCAGCAGATGCATTTTTTAGTGTCCTGTTGACCCAGACTACATGATTTAACTTAATGTGTAGCTGTTCGAAGACTTTAATAAAAAGGCTTTTGATGTTTGTTCACTCATGATGTCTGATGAGAAATGCCAAGATTGCTTAAATTAAAGGAGTTGTTTTTTTTATCTGATCAATGCAGACTTAAAGGGACAGATTCACAATTTCTGGGTGTGGTTTTCGATCTTGGATATATTAAATAGTCTTCAGAACTACTAAGAATGTACAAAAATGGGATGATTCCTTAAAAAATACCTCCAACTCCAAATGATGAGACATCATTTTAACTATCAAACGCAGAAAATTCTGGACACACATTGATTTGAAGGCTCAAATTTAGACATTGAGCTGTGAACACTATTACTGATTAGTTTAGCTAAAAAATTTCCCCGTTTCAGAGGGTAAGATATGATTGGTTAAACTGATGGTGAACCTGTCTCTTTGTATACATTGTGTAAAATATGAATGACCACTTAATGCCCTAAATTCAAATATTATTGACACAAGACTTATGTGGGATGGCTGCTTTAAAATTGAAAAGGGAAATTCTCATTGTCAATAGCCATGTTTACCAACATTATATGTTTTATTGTATAGTTGATATCATTGTTTGTAAACAGCAATAGAAAGAGATAAGCAGTATTTATAGAATACTTTCTTGGAATACCCAGTTAATATATCATTACACTTTCTCAAAATAGCAACTTGATTTACATTTAACCCTATCAATACTTTAAGCCAGTGCATTATGATGTAATTATTCAGTTTTTACCATCATCATATAACATTTATGTTGTATTCTTTATAGAGATGGTTGCGTCCTACTTTAGTCTCAGAAACAGGAATTTTTTAGATATGCCAATCAGTAATAGTGTTCACAGTTCATCGTCGTAATCTGAGCCTTCAAAGTCATGTGTGTCCAGAATTATCCACGTTTTAAGACACTGCCATATATAGAAAATACATCTATAGATAAAGAAATACATAGTTTGAAGTTTTTATAAATGAATTATGCAATTTTCGTACAGAGAGTTGTCATTAAATTTTGCAATTGATAGACATTGAAAGCTAATGGCTAACCTATATTTGATGTTTGATAGAGAATATTGACTGTCGGTCATTTGAGCATCCATGTCGATCATGTCCAGCATATAGAGCCAGATCAACAGCCCTGGCCCAGATTTCTCAGACATTCCTATACATAATGTAATAAGTTTTCCGGTCTTGTTAAGAAGCAAGTCTAGACATCTAAAATTGACTTAAACCTTTGAACGTCTTTGAGTGTAAATGAAATGAAACGTCATATACCCTGAACTCCAATTAACACAACTTGAAGCGTATGACTTAACGTTGTGTGACATCACTTAGTAATGGCCAGTATAAAGTCGGGTATATATTGTGTAATTATGTGGCCGGTAAAATGGTTGCTAGGGTTGAAAGGGTTAAATTATCACATCACAATGGCCAAAGTTTTAGGAACTACCGGCAGCTAGGATATATATTGCGTTATATTTATGTGGCTGGTAAACTGGCAGCTTGGGTTGAAAGAGTTAAAATCACATCACCTTTGGAAATGCAGAAAATCTTCAAATGTAAATATTTGTTATATTTTCAGGCTCAAGAATTATGTGTAGAAACAAAGATATGGTGTGAAGATGGTTATTGCTGTAATGATGGGAAATGTTGTTTATATTATCATGAAACTTGGTGTAAGTTTTTGTACTTACTTGTCTTTTGGTAGGAAAGAGAAAATGTGAAAAAAGGCATTGCATGGTGGAGTTGGCATTTTGAAAAGCATAGCTTAGATTTCTAAAGATGTACATAGACATGAAGATGACAATGTAGAATGTTGAAACGTCGTGTGTAATAAAACTAAGGAGTAGTATACCATAAAATTGTGTTCCGTTATTTAATGTGATCTCTACCCCTAAATGTCGCTAAAGGATTATAAAATATGATATGCCTTTAATCAGATATATATTTTGATATGATTTCAGGGTTTTGGTTAATATGGGGTATAATATTTCTGATATTGAGTTGTTGTTTTTACCATCGAGATAGAATATGTAGATGTTGTCGGTCATCACGTAACAGAAATAGTACATTAGTTGGTACCGTTTCCCATCCATATCATCATATAGTATCAACTACATCATCTTCAAATATTCCATTTTGTGATCCAAGTAAGAATTTTTCTTTAAAAGGCCATTTTGGGGGCTTGCATATATGTAAAGTCTTCAGAAATACCATACTAGAACTGCACAAAAATAACGTAATCCCTTCAAATATACCTCAAACTAGGAATTCCACTTTTTATTTCTATATGCGTCATATTTATAGCTGTCTTTTTATATTTCAAATTCGATTAATTCTGGACAAACATGGATTTTAAGGCTCATATTTCGATGGTGAGCTGTGAACACTACTACTGATTAGCTCAGCTAAAAAACTTCCTGTTTCTGAGATTAAGATATGATTGGTCAAATGGACGGTGAATCTAAAGTGATATTGTCAGTTATATATTTTATTCTTTCAGTCGAATAAGCTTAATGTCAGCTATCTGTATCACTTCAAAAAATCAAAATTTGACCTAAAATAAGATTAGACTTTTTGTTGAATTGTAAGAGAACTAGAAGTCAGATTATAATTTTGAAAAGTATTACACATAGCTTAAATAGAGCACAAATCTGATCCATAAAAGCAAAAATCAGATGTTACAAGCACAACAAAGAAAATAAAATTGCTAATTGGATCAGTGGAAAAATGTATGTTATCTTCTGAAGAATAGAAAATTTTAATTAAGCCATGGAGAAAGTCATATTCTATATAAACAGGAGATGTACACGTAATATGACAAATTAAGATGTCATATAAGTAAACTATTATTATTATCCCTTTCAAGTATATGATATGGAATGATTAATTGGGGTCAGATTGGCTAGATATAGTTGTTATTTGACCACTAAGTGACCACTTGATAAGATGTAGGTTAATTGGGCTACATATGTATTTATAAATAAGTGATAGTACATAATAGTTTATTAGTAATTAGTAATTGTGCAACACAGTCAAGTTACTGATTTGTATTAAGAGTGAGGAAGTTCATGAAAAATCCTATGTAAATCACTGGCCGAGGTCACAATATTCTTAAAAATATGGTGGTGTTAACATAGTCAGTACTTAGCTTTTAACATAAAAAATTGAACCAGTAATCTACACTTTAATTAATTAATGAAAATTTTTACTGGATTTTACTCTAAGAAAAACATACTTCAAATTGATAATATGCACTGATGTTAATATGTTTATCAACACAATGTCATTCTAAGACTTTCATAACTATTTCAAATTTACCCACAAAAGTAAGAGGTCATATACTATTTACATGTTAAAGGGATTGTAAAGAGGTTTACTTAAAAATTGTATGTGTTTAGGGGACACTGATAGCATAAATATGCACTATTCCAATTTTAAATCAGACATCTGTAGTTCCTGCAATTCCTTCACAAAAAATTCATGTCACTAATCGAGAAGGACCTTTTGTGATAATTAAAGCATATTTTACGTTTAGTGACATCATCAAACACTTAGTTTTAGTAGAATTTTAGGAACCACAGACTTCTGACTGAAAATTGGAATGTTGCAAACTGATGCTATCGGTGTACCCAATACACATAAAAAATTTAGAAAACCTCTTTACAATCCATAGCTTATTACAGATACATATAAAATGATAAAGCTTTCACTTAACATTTGTCCTGACATTTTAAACAGACAATTCGTGTATCAAATAATAAATAAGTATCAAATACTTGACACCATTAATTGGTTGCAGATTTCATTTGCCTGATAAAAAAAAAACTTATATTGATATAAGTTTTTGTTACAAACAAAATAATCAAATGAAATGGAGTTTTACATCCCACTTTTCTGCACCTGAGTGAGCTGATGGAGATGGCCAATGCAATGAGGAAATTTTGCAGCAATAGTCTACTATTTTTCTATTTACCATGTCAGCCCCACCTGTATCACTGGTATGAGGGAATCTCAGCTGGCTTGAAGAATTTGAAGGTTTTTCTCTCTATTTTAAGATGTGAGACTTCCGTCCTATGATGAGGTGCCAATAATTCCTAAAAATCCACCACCAGAATATAATCAAGTCTGCTGTAGTCCAGTTTTACCAGAGACTTCGCTTCAAAGACCAAATATGTGAGTTAACTTTCAGATTCCATCCAAATCTGGCAAGAGACCCAATCTAAAACAGTCTACCAAAAATCCCATATTTTGCCTGTGGAAAATTTGAAAATAGCAGTTGAAGGATCTTTAAAAAGCACAGTCTGCACCTGTGGCATCTTTTTCCTTGTCAGTTTAGCTGAAGTGCATCACTGATAGAGGAAACAGGGTTGAAAAAGCAAAGCACACCATCTCAGCCCCATCACCAGGAATGAATTGATGTTAGGGCTCAGATTTGGTAGGCCTACTCAGAAAATTTGAAGAATTTAAGGACCACAGAACCTCATTTCTGACAATTTTGAGGTGCCAAAAACTATAAAAAGATACTGTAAATGAATCAATATCTTCTGAACTGTAGAAGGTAGAAGGTTTTGCTGACCCCATGGACCACAGATCCCACCCTAACCACAGAGTTAATTGATCTGTGCTAGAATTTTTGAAAGTCCATGTCCAAGACCAAGATGAATTTTTTTTTTCGTTTTTGTAGTTATTGTATGTTGATCTGATCTGCAAAATTTTTTGAACTATTTTTTGGTTTCTATTTCAGCTGTGATGATATAGAAGAAAGAGACTGGGAGACACCTATGGGCACACCTCCACCACCTTACTCTCCTTTACATGAGCAATAACCGTCCTCCATTTTGTATTTTATGTACCAGTATCTTATAGATACAATTTATTATGGTGTAAATATTTATTAATCTCTTTGAGATTATTTCAAACTGGTTTTTGACTAGCTATGTGACTAGGTGACTGTCCAAAATTGTTGGTTGTGGTCATCTAGAGCACCAGATGTCAAACACGATCTGGATTTTTCACCAAAGTATGCTGGATTAAAGTGTGCTAGCTTGCTGATGGATGTAAATGATGGACTTGGATATGATAGATTTGTAAGGTTTTTTTAAGAGTACTTAAGATTAAGGCAATAAGTTTTGATTTTCATGAGAAACTTAAGATTCGGATTTGCGTTACGTTATAGCATGAGTTGACATAAAATATGTTTGGAAATGTAAATTATTTCATTATAAAGCAAAGCAAAAAAAAAAGTATGCAATAATTATGATTCCTTTTTTACTTTTGCTCACTGTATTTTGTACATACATATTATGTGTATAATTTATTATGTTAGTGTGTTTCATATATATTCTGTGGGTACCTTCAATCATTCACAATTCAAATGCTCAATGCCCCTAGGCTAATTCACACAACAATTTTGACCAAACTTTATGTTGAACTTTCAGTTCATGACAAGATTTCTTTAACAGTATTTAGCCACCAATTTTTAGAGATATTCCTTATTAAACATTCACTTGTCAAATTTTTACAGTGATTTTGTCAGAATTGGAATGAGTAAAGTAACCCACAGAAAATGACTGGAACAAAATATCTGGTTTATTCTGATGAGATTGGATTCTAGATATTTTCAGTGTGATAACATCTTAAAATATGTGATAACCACATTCCATAGTCTTCTTTTTTGCAACAATCTTTTGAGCAGTGGCGACATCAGTAGGGGTATCCCCCACTTCATTGCTTACAAATTTGAAAATATGATTTTTTTCCCAAAAGACGTGGCAGAATGCACCTAGTTAATTTATTTTTCAAAAATTGCTTGGGGAGAGAATCCTCTCAGATGCTCCATGGAAGGTTTGCTCCTATGTGCTTCAAAAGAGCTGCCATTTTGAATCTCAATCTCAACAGTTTTCCCCCATTAAGTCAGTCTGCCTCTATTTACCAGTGGAGAGGCTGGCGCCAGCACTGCTTGTAAGTGCTGTTGGGTCCAATGCAAATTCACAAGCATGAATCTGTCTGTATTATGTACTGTAGTTTGAACTTGTTCATATTTTCCAGCTGTGGATGACAGATGTCGTCCTGCTAGATTCAGAATATAGGTCCCGACTTTTCACCCAATCTCCAGATTTTTTTCCTTGACCTGTACACATGTATGGATACTTAGTACAGGTTACCTGTTACCTATATTGAATAGTGAATGCTATCATTGCTGCAGGTTGCTATTGAAACCAGTGACTTGCAAAAAAAGAAGTAGCAGGTCAGCTCTATTAGTCGAAGTTGGAATTCAAATAAATTGTTAAATGTTTTTGTTATTACTTAGTTGTTAATGTTGAAAAATTATAGCTGTCTTGATATTTTCTTTCCCAGCTGATAAAACTCTAGCTCAACTTTCTGGCACCTGGTTTGTATGCAATTAAAGAAAAATGAACCAGCACGTGTGACAGTACATGTCTCTGGGAAGTTAAGATATACTATTGTATATTGAGATATTGTTGAATAATATTGTAGATAACTGCACTGGAGAATGTTCTTTAATCGCAGATGAACCAGACATTGGATTTTTAATTTTGAAAAGTGACCAGGATAGTTTTATCAACAGGGAAAGAAAATAATGAGACAACTGTAACTCTTTAAGTAATTTGTTATGAATACTAAAGTGCTTTGATCTCCTAGGTTTATTTGATGTTATTTCTTATAGTCTTCTTTACTAATTTTGGTAAATTCACTTTTCAAATAGTGAAAGATTATGAGATAAGGTTGTGACAAAAAACAATAAGACACAACGAACAGCATTTCATTCTAAAAACTAAAGGTACGACAATTACTGTTTCTTGTGTTTCTGTCAAGGCAGGGTAGTCTAACCTTTATTTGATTGTGTATTTTAAGAATTAGATTTCACCTTTTGAGAGTGAATGTTGATGTAGTTTTGATACTTATTAGTCCTTTATGTCCACCATTTACCTGGTTAATTGGGTCTTTAATATTTGTTCATATATCTTTTATATATGACAGAGTCTAAAGAAAACACAAGTCATTATTTAATTTTCAAGTGCGGATAATTCTGGACACACATTGATATGAAGTCTCAAATTTCGACGGTGAGCTGTGAACACTATTACTGCTTAGCATAGCATTCCGGTTTCTGATTGGTCAAATAGATGCAGAAACTGTCCCTTTAATGGTCTAATCAGAATAAAATATTTGTTAAGATGGCCTTGTAGTTCAAGGTGCCATATTGTCCATATTTAAAATATAGAATCAGACTATATTACTCATATATTTTCTAGTCTATAATTCTCTTAAATACTACAGAATTTAAATATTAATACGGAACCTGAAACATGTTGTTTCTCAAGAGTTTAACGTTGTGCAATCTACAAACACTATACATTTTTAGATAAGAATTCATTGAGTATTGTTAATATTTCTTGTTTAACTGTAGTCTGTATAAACTTGTAATATACATTTATAATATGTCTGATGCATATTTTGCCTAGAGCCAATTTTAAAAAAAAAAATCAAATGATTTCAATTTCTCTTCAAATGATTGCTCATTCACAAAAATTAAGTTCACATTTAGTTTTATTTAAATTTATCTGAATTAAGATTTTAAGAAAAAGCCATTATCTGAGCAAAGTAAAAGATTTTTTGAATTTTTCCTATTATTTTTATGAGAATTGGAATAGCAGCCTCAAAATATTACTGTTAGTCTTAAAATGTCTTTGCAAAAATGAAAATGTAATCTTTTGTAAGGTTACATTGAAAAGAAAACACATTTCTCTCTTAGAATTTTCAACCCCAAAAAGTCACAAATTTTGTGAATTGTCCTCTGTTAAAACAAATTTTGAAGACATTTTATGTGCTTATGTTAATATTTTTATCAAAGAAAAGACATTCTAAGACTAACAGTAATATTTTGAAGCTGATATTCAAATTCTCATAAAAATAATAGAAAAAATCAAAAAACTTTTTACTTTGCTCAGATAGTAGTATAGACAGTTTGAAGATCTAAGATCTTGACTTTATTATTCAGTGCTATGAATTCCTATTGCGTTTTATAAAGGCCATATAAGCTATAGATTTACTTTTTTTTTCCAATTTCAATGTCTTTCAAACAGTTAAACTAAGTATTTGTTTCATACTTCAAATATCCTGAAGTCTACTACCTCCTTCATATTCTTTGTTAGTGTCTGTGTATTTAGAATAATTTAATCACAATGCACTATGTGTGAAGGAATTGCTGAGCCTCTCCTACATTTTTTTCACATCAGGGTTATTGATTCATTTGTATTAGCCAGTCATGTCTGATTTGATTGTCAAAATGGCTGACTCTTATTTTGGTTTAAATTGATTACATATAAGACTGGTTTGCTACGGCAAAAATCATTTGGTTTGAATAATTGCAATATAATTGTCATAATCTAGACATGTTTTTCTGGAATCTTTTCTGGAAACTGGAATCTTGTAAGAGAGTTACAGGAACCTTGCTAGACTTCTCACAGAAATTTTGGCTCTGCAATTCCTTCCATTTCATATTCATTCTGTATTGTTTATTGACTATAAACATAAATTTGTTACATACTAAAAGAGTGCTTCTGACCACAGTGCCTTTATTTAAATTTAATTTTTGTTAGAAGAGATGAATGAATTTTGTCATTTGATTATTGCATTGGAGTACAAGCTGAATGATATACCTTAATGTTAGATACTGTATACTGTATCCCTTTTCAGTAGGAATACTAACTTATTATTCACCTACAATTAAATATTTTTTCTATATATAGGCATTGAAATTCTTGAAACTTAATTGTAAATTCACCTTCAATTAAATGAATTTGCATTGAAATTATTCAAACTTGATTTGAATCATTGTCATTACCCAAGCCTATTTCAGCAATCAATCTTGATTTGATTGTAAATGAACCTGATGTCATATTGTCATCCATGGCAGTGATTCTGGTAGCGGAAATTAAGTTCTTTTTGCTGGTGAAATGAATGAATGTATTAATAGCATCATTTAGTAACTTCTGCAATGACTTAGTTTTGATTTGATTGTAAATGAACGTCGTGTCAAATTTTGTAACTTTTAAGTGATATCTGTAGCTGAAATTAACATTGCTGGTAGATGAATGAATATAATGGTATCATTTAGTACCTATTGCTATTGTTGTATCTCACATTACCTGGAAATCTATCTTCCAAAAAAAAACCCAGAAAAAACAACCCTTTAATTTGTGACTGTGTGATTCTCTATAAATTTTCATAGTGTCCATTTTCCTATTTCCTTTAAAAATATATTTATGATGTGATATTAAAAAGTCTGTATAATCAAAAAATTCATTTGTACCTTTGTGTATGTTTTTTTTTTGCCATTTTGTATATTCTAAATTGTATATAAGTGAATGAGATATAAGAAAAGTTAAGACAAGGTTGTTTTTTGTATTAGAATGGTTGAAGTGCATTTTCAGATTATTTTCTAGAAACCATTCCATACATAAACAAATGTTGAGGAAATCAAAAATCAAAACTTTGACCAGTATAGTGTTGATGTGAAAGAAACTTTATATTTGTGGAATGAAAGGAAATAAATAGTTTTAATAGATAAACCTATGATTATTATATAATGATTTTTTTTATGTTAAATGATTTTGAATTATAATGGAAATAAAATTAGATATAAATCTTCCATTATTCTTTGTTTTTTCTTTTAGGATTTGTAATATTAAGCATTCTACTGAGAAAATTGCATTAGTGATTTCATGTGTTCCGTGTTGATATGTGCTGATATTTTTCTACAGGGTGATAAACAAGGAATGGTTAAGGGATTTTCTAAATT